ATCCATAGGAGAAAAAGTTTTGGCTTGGTTAACTCCTAAATTTAAAACTTGGAATTAAGAGCTAAAGCAAAGTAAATGGATACCCCATCTCACAGATGAGAAAGTAGAGGTCTGAGCAGAAGACACAGTTTCTTGAAGTAAGCTAATGGCAGAGCTGGCATATGAACTTTGATCTCCACTTTACTAATTCATCTCCTGTATGAATATATCTGAAGACTCAGTATACCCTTAGAATCCTGGGAAAGAAAATTACCTTCAAGTTGCATCTTTTTTGTTTTTATTTTACTTTTTTTTGGTCAGGGGTGGGGCTTGAACTCAGGGCCTGGGCATTGTCGCTGAGCCTCTTTGTGCTCAAGGTTAGAGCTCCACTTGAGCCACAGTGCAATTTCCAGTGTTTTAGTGGATAATTGGAGATAAGTCTCACAGGGACTTTTCTGCCCCAGGCTGGCTTAGAATAGTGATCCTCAGATCTCAGCCTCTTGAGTAGCTAGGATTATAGGCCTGAGCCACCAGCCCCTGATTTCAACTATCATCTTTGAAATCTCTCTTCAATGGCATTTAGTAATAAATACACTTTTTGTAGTATAAATTTATGTATACAGAAATGTGTCAGAAAACAATTTGCTCTACACAAAACCCTGATAATTTTAATTTCAGTCAAGTGTATTTCATTTTATTAATGTTGATGAGCTATTAAATGGATCTGTTGGGTTAAGAGCTACTAATAGAGCCAAAGCTATAGAGACAAACACTCTTTTTTAAAAGCAAAGAGCATGTTGAAAGACTACCCAGGAGTACGGGCATATAACAGAAGCGAGAGGTCTTTATCAGCACCTTCGTAAATGCAGGAAAGGATGGAGTGAGGGAACAAACAAGGAAAAAGAAATAAATTTCACATTTCAAAGGATAAGTTATACTTTTCTTCTGGAGTTTACATTTATTTTATCAAAGAATATATCTCCCAAAGTTTTCCAAATGAACAATTTTATAACTAGTAGCCTCAACAAAAAGTCTAAAGCCAGGGCAGATCTGGCATTGTATGTTATGTCGGGAGAAACATTTAGTCTCATTAAGAGGGCAGCACACGGAAGCTTTTTCCATTTCCTACCAATGTCATTTCAAATCACAGCAGGCACAGAAACAGCTCATTTTCAACTAGATGTTAAATTTGTGTGTAACGAGATGCTGCGAGAACCAAAAAAAATAATAATATGAATAACAGAAAAACATTTTCAGGGCGCCTGGGTTGTTTTGATAAATATCTACTCTACAGATACTGTTCTTTGCTTTGTGGTAGTCTAGACACTTTAAAAGTCTTGCACTCAATCTGTCCTTCTGTTCCACTGCCTGCTCATCCTGAGCTGCCAAACTTTTCTCAGTCTACACTTCATGCTTTTATTCTATTTGTTTACAGCCTATTGAGATAGAATCTTGCTGTATAGAACCCAATAGGTCCAACTCCCTGTCTTCCAGCATAAGTTTTGTAAGTACTGGGATTACAGGTGTTCTCTAAAGTACCCAATATTTCTCTACACTTTTAATTTTCTGCTGTAAATTTTATACTATTATTCCAGAATCTTAGTGGTGTCCTATCTAGACACTTTCTTGTAGTCCACATATTTCTTAAACAAGATAACCTGCAGTAATCATTCTGGAAGACTGGAGGACAGCTTATCTCTCAGTCAATACCTTATAAGAACAGTTGTCATGGGGTTAAGTCAATGGCTTACAAGTGATGTGCAGAAGGCATCACCGAAGGAGATCTGAGGCCAGAAAAGGGGCCCAATATAGAACAATAGAGGCAAGTCTTAAGAATGGTGGTGGCATTAATTGAGCAGCCAAACAAGACTTTACATGAACCCATCATTTTATAAATTCATTCCAATACAATTCATTCCAATACATTGCAAACATTAAAATAAACTGTATTTTTTTATTTATCCCATTAGAGGTGGGATTGTCGTTGTCAATGATTTTTGCACTGATATTCCCATCAGTTTCTTTCTTGCCTATGGTTCCACATAAACTAGGCTCTCCATCCAACTGGATGTCATAAACTTTTCCAATTTAAGACAATAAATGTGGAAGTGAAGCTGTGATTCAAGCAATAGAACACCATCCTTAAGTGAAAACACTAAGGGAGAGCACTCAGGCTCTCAGTTCAAGCCTAGTACCAGCACAAAAATAAAAGAAAGAAAAATAGGGAGGGAAGGAAGGAAGGAAGGAAGGAAGGAAGGAAGGAAGGAAGGAAGGAAGGGAGGGAGGGAGGGAGGGAGGGAGGGAAGGAAGGAAGGAAGGAAGGAAGGAAGGAAGGAAGGAAGGAAAGGAAGAGAGGCAGAAAAGAAAATTTATTTCCTACAAATCTGATTTGATTTTTAAAAATAGAAGCAAAAATAAAACCAACAATAAGGAGTTGGGGTATAGCACAGAGGTAGAGTGTTTGTCTAACTGTACAAGACCTTGGGTTCTATCAGAACCACAAAGAATCTGATCATATCAAGAAGAGTGGCAAATATTTAGCAACTGCTCATTAAATATCAGCATGAATTAAACTAGCAGTGCTCAAATTTCACTGAAAAGTTCCTTCCAGCATCTTGATGCTTGTGTTCTAGCTATATTAATTAGATTCATGAAGCACAAAAATCCTGGAGATAGAAAACAGGTAATAGCAGTTTTTTAAGAAAAGTTTCCCAGGTGATTTCACGAGCAGTTAAATTTGAGAACTCCCATGCTAAAAGTTCACTAATGAAGTATTTCATTGATTTCTGACAGCATTCAGGTCAAGTACTTATTATTATCATCCCTGAATCTAACAGAAAAAAGTCTAGGAAGGCCACACAGGTAAGATCAAACAAATGCAAGCTTTTAATATATTAAAGTAGAGCAAAGCTTTTAAAAACAAGTAAGGAAGAGGAAATGGGGGGAACAAGAAAGCTAAGAGGAGAAATTCTCCACAGAGAAAGCAAATGGTTCTATATGAACAAAAACAACAAAGCCAGAGTGTTCTGAGTGTTAAAAATTTGTTCTCAAGAGTATTTTAGGATCTAATAGTAGTTTATCAGCTGTGCAGAGTACAAGTGCTACTTGTGTTCATTTATGAACATCCAATAGATATTTATTAAACCACATCCATCAATGCAGCTCAAGTGGTAAGTTAACTGTGAACTGTAGTAAGGAGATAGATTCTAGCCAGGAACTGTTTATGCGGCAGTAGAATTCACTTTGACTCCCAATGCTTAAGACCCAGCAGGTTTCGAGGTGGACAGCTGTCTTTAGTCAATACTGATACTGAAATTTCATGGGAAGCCAATAAGGAGATGTTCAAAGAGAAGTTTCAAAGCTACCTTATCAATGCTTTCAAAGCTACCTTGGAAGTAACAGACTTATGTGAAACATGGCTGGAAGGTTTTTGGAAAAACAAAAATAAATAAATAAAAGCATCTTTCCTTCACTAAAATCTAAACAATTTTGAATAATCACTGAAGTATTGATCATGAAACTCTTAATACCAAACTGAAAAAACAGATGATCCCCTATTCCTAAAATATATTGAAAATAATGGAAGAATTACACTTGAAACATTTTCAGAAGCCTTCTTGGGAAACAGTTCTTCATGCAAATATTTATATTTTTTTCACATTTCATTATAGATCATTTTAAGATTTTCAGCCAAATCCCTGCATCTGTGTTTGCTGTATTCTAGAACCTATTGCTGCCAGAAAATACCTGCTGCTTTTTTATATCTCCAAACAATAAATCATTCCAAGTGATTTTTTCCCAGATCTTTTGGATGTCAAAAGAACTGTTAACTTTCTGAGGATAAAATATAATTCTGTAAGAAGAGACTAAAAAGAAAAATTGCTAGTTTTCCTATCAACTATGGAAAGGACTGACTCCCCCATCACAAGGCTACTATTTGCTAATTCTGTTTATGCTGAAAGTAAAGTACTTGAGTACTACATTTTCCATACAATGAATTAATTTATAATATGTAAATTATGAATTAATTCACAATAAAATAATTCAACTTAGATGGCAATTCAACACATTCTACTACTGCTGCACCTAATTGATTATCTGTAATACAAATTTAAACATGTATTTCTTCTTGATGCAATACTTTGTTAAAAAATAAACTGTAAGCATTTCTTTGAATATCTCCTTTAGGATGTTTTTGAAAGCAGAACAAATGTCATCCCACACAACTGATTCCACAGTGCGGTGATCTTCACTAATAACATTTACAGACCTAACACTTTAGCATCTGTTGGCTCCCAGATGAATTGCTTTAGTTGTAGAGCATTTGACCTATATCAAATCTCCGTTCATCATATCTAAAGGTTAGTTCATGATGTATGCATGCTTAAGAGGATCAAGGATAAATTTCCAAGAAATTCCAAGCTCATCTTAACGATTTAGAATTAAGCAGTACAAGTTAGATACCTCATATCTAAAATGATTGGGCCAAGAAGAGTTTTATATTTCAGTTATTTTTCAGATTTTGAAATAATTGCACAAACATATAAGATATTTCAAAGTCTAGAAAAAACATTCATGTTTCATATTCATCTTATGAACATGGCTTGAAAATAATTTTGTACCACATCTTTAGCACACCTGCATTTTGGCAGTGATTTTCACAAGAGGTCATGTGTGGAACTCTTCATTTGTGGTATTAAATCTAGTCTAAAATGCTTCAGAATTTGGAGTATTTGTGATTCCATAATTTCCAGTTAGGCATGCTTAATTTATAACTTGTACTTTTCTTCAAATAAAAACAAAATCACAGGGCAATGGGCAAGCATTTAGGTCTCACTGTCCATATGCTCTCTCATTATTTCCATCCTTTAATAAAAGTGGAAGTATTTCGAGCAGATTGGCTGTTGTGTTTTACAACATCTACAACAGAGAAACTTTTAATTGGGGCAATTAGTTGATATCATGACACAGATAAATAATCAAGGCAGCAGCTGGTATGGACCCGACGCTCAGCTTCCTACCTTGGGAGCTTTGGCATGTTTCCCACACCTGGCATCTTTGACGAGACTAAGATCTAACAGCTCCGTCTCCTGGAAGGCAAAAATGAGAATCTGTTAAGCAACTACAAAGATTCTTCTTCTTTATTTTTACACCATTGACATCCTTAAAAAAAGAACACTGTCTTGAGACTTGCCTGAGAGTTTCTCTGTAGTTGAGATATTTTTTCCTTTTTCTGTCACTTCTCAGTAGAATTGTGGTAAAACAAAAAAAGATCACTAATAACTGTTCCATTTATTAACACATTCTGAAAGAATGAAATTCACGATTTAAGTCTCTGGGCTATTCTCCATACCATTGCTAAGTCATGAGGGATTAGTCTTTCTTGTTCACCCATTGAAAATCATCCTGCCATCACTGAGAGTGGGTGAGAATATGAAGGCTTGTCAGAGGATAGATAATTAGGTAAATGGGTCAAGGTGATGTTTCCATCTGCTCATTTACCCTCCTAGCTCATCTGGCCAAAGTAAAGATGGATCTGTCTCCCCTAGTCCAGCCTTTTACACACAGACTTCATACGATGATCATGAGAACATGTATTAATTATCATCATTGAACATCCACAATATGCACATTTCTCTGGGGTCCAAGACATATACAATACATTTGCTTCTCTGGATTGCCAACAAATGTACATGCGGGTGATAGTACCTATATATATGTCAATGGGAGAGTATGTCAATGACAAATGTTGTTAACTGCTAAAGGTAGACAATGGACAGAGGATAGCTAAAGGAGAGACTTATGGAGAAGTTATTAAGCTTGGTGAATAGATGTGTGAAGGAAAAGGGCTCATCCAAATTTGAGGATACAACATGAAAAAAATAACTCAGAAAAGAATACACTAAGAGGTTTGGGGCCAAACCTTGAGAAATCCATAGCTTTTAAGCACTTAGAGGGTATAACTAATAGGAAAAAGTGATAAGAAGAAGAATCAAGAGGTACATGAGTAAAACATAATAACCTTGAAGCCATGGTAGTAGTGGGGGAGATAATTCATACTGGGGGCATTCCACATTCTCTTTGGATGAAGAAAAGTCATGGAAGACATCAGAAGGTTAGAAACTCAGAAAGTGGACCCAAGGACATAAAGCCATGAAAGTTGAGCCATGTGTGTCACCAAATTACACCGTGAACTGTCACTGGCCAGAAAGGCTATGCAGCAATCTAATCACCTTCTCCTAGAGGAGGCAATACATTGTCATTCAGCTATTAACAGACCCTCTGGACACAGGTGTGTATGATTGGTCATAGACTCTAAGATTGCAAGTGTTGGATGATTATATTCCCAGGCAGGTTTTGCAAACAGCCACTCATAGTTTCCAAATATCTGGAGAAACATGTGATAATTTCTCCAATGTTGCAGCACAATAAGGATGAAACAGAAAGTGGGATCTCCCTGAACTACAAACCTGCTCAGCAGATCCAACAAAACGCCTGGCTCCACCTACCTCACTTCCCTAATGGAACATTGCACATTTACTTTTTCCCATTTTAGAAGACCTTTTGGTCCATTTCATGTTGTGGATAGCCCTGTACAAATTAGTTCAAATTCTTTGGTGTGATATATGGCAACCTGCCAAAGAGATTTCAGGACAGAGTTGTGATGCAATTATCCTGCCATCCGAAACAACATTGTTAGGAAACAATACTTTCAGTCTAAGATTTGATGCTATTCTTAAGTAAACACATCAATTAGCTTGGAGTGAGAGGGGAGATAAAAAGTAAGACATAAGGAACTTGACTAGCACAAAACTTCTTTTTTTAATCTCCACAAAAATAACAAGCAAACCATTGTGTAGAAGAGAGGAAATAGGAAGAAGGAAAGCAAGCTTGAAGAAGATTAATCTAGAATATGGGAATTGAGAAGAGATGTAAGAGTCAGGGGACAAAATCAAGGTATATAATAGGAAGAGAGAAGCAATATGGAGGAAGAATAGTAAGGCAAGGAAAGAGAAGATTAAAAATGCTGGAATTTCTATCTACTCGTTAAGATTCAGAATTTGGCACAAACTAATGGTGCATTTTGGAGATGTTGTCTTGAGAAATTCATTCAAGCTAAAAAAGTCAATAATGAAATTGCTTGAACGTTGTTTATTAAATGTCAGCTCTGTGTCAGGTAAAGGCCAGTTGGGTTGAACCAGAAAATGAAAGAGTCAGTTCTCCATTTGGAGGAGCACATAAATGATCCAATTATTGTCTACCAGAGAAATTACTTTAAAGTGCCTGTTGACATAGGCATCGGGAGGCCATGGCATATATTTTCTGCCAGCTCACAATAGTAAAAGGAATGTGCCAGCCTTACAACATTGTGTGTGTGTGTGTGTGTGTGTGTGTGTGTTTAGAAGGAAAGGTGGTTATAGAGAGAAGAAAGAACAAGTACAAATGTGCAATGGCAGGAATTGTGTAAGAAAAACTGCAAGAGTTATGTTGACTATGATACACAACAATCAACTTCAGATTGAGCAGACCTTACCTAACTTTCCTCTTTTAGTTATTCATAAAACACTAACATACATGTTTGATATACTTCTCTATATGTTGCATGATGTTTTACATATGCATCGAATACAAATTTTGCCTGCACACAATACATTTTACCTAGTGTGACATGAACATTTTCTATCCCAGGATATTTCCACAGTTGAACAAACAAACAATAGACTGAAACATTACTTGTTTGATTATACACACAAAACCTGAAATGAGTTCACAGAGAACCTACATCTTAGCAGGCATCATTACAGATAATGAGCACTGTTTTCTTCTTTCAACTCTGGAGGAAACACTTATTCCCAAAACCATGGAGGGATAGTTAATGCCATCTTCCCCAGGGGATTCATTCTGATACCACAGGATACCACTAAAAACTGATACTACTAAAAACTTCTGTCATGGTGTGTAAAATTGTGTGTGTAGGAAATCCAGCATATAGCACTGTGGATGTGGTTAATGTGGCATGGGAAAACCTTTTCATGGACTCATTCAGCTAAAACATGATGATTAAAATAGCATCTCCCATTTCTATTAACATGCAAGAACCAGCTCTCTGGGGTTTTACTACATCTTTTCCTCTCCTCCACTAAGAAGAAAAAGGACCACAAAAATTGTTAGTTGTGTCAGTAAAACTCTTTGTAGGTTAATTTTCTTGTGTTAGTAGCAGTTTTATCAACTTATTCTCATTAGTATAAGGCACTAAAATGGTCCCTTTCTCAGTTCTTTTAAGAGTTACTGTTTTCCAGACTTGCAGAACTCATTAACATTGTATCATCTATTAAATGCAAATAATAGTATCTCCCATGCATGTGGCTTTCAAAATGATGCCTCTTCATTAATTGGACATCTTACTTTAGAATAGCTTGTTCAAAGAGTCTGGGAGTAGATCTTAAAATTTGCCTCTTTAACTAACTTGTAGATAATTCTGATGCTGATAGTCCAACAGACCAAGCTTTGCAAATGACTCATATACAAACACTCACACAATTGTTGCTATAAAGCTCTTGATGACCATGACTGATAAAACTATACAACAGTTATATAGCTGTTATGGTTCCTAAAAAAATCTATCACACTTCTTTCTTTTTTAATGTTTTTATTGTAAAAATAGTGTACAGAGAAGTTACAATTACATGAGTAAGGTAATGAGTACATTTCCTATCGAGCATTGTTACCTCCTCCTTTGTTTTTCCCCTGCCATCCCTTCCCTCCCCACCTTTCCAGATCCCCTCCCCGAAGTTGGAAAGTTCATTTTCTACATGGTGTCTTGTATATCTCATTGTTACAATGGGTCAACCTATATCCTTGTTGCAGCATTTTGTTATTTCCCTTCCCCTCCCCAAATTAGAAAAATATATATACAAGACACAGGATACCGACACCAAATACAGTAAAAACAGGGATTATACCATGGGGATGAACATAGAAGAGAAACAAAAAAAATCACATAGTCTAATTTAGATACATTAAAAACAATAGCAAGAGAGAAAAACAACAAGTTGTGTCCCTATATGGGGCTTCATTTCACTTAACGCCATCTTATAAATTACTCGTGCTGACCCGAAATTTTGGCAAAGTAGCAGGGTATAAAATTAACCCTCAAAAATCAACAGCTCTTCTGTGTGCCAGCAATGGGAAAAGCATGGCTGAAATCAGGAAAGCAACTCCTTTTGTAACAGCCACACACACACAAAAAATACCTAGGAGTTAATTAAAGAAGTGAAGGACCTCTACAGTGAAAACTTTAAAAGCCTAAAAAAGGAAATTAAGGCAGAATTTAGGAAGTGGAAAAGCCTCCCATGCTCCTGGATCGGGAGGATTAACATCATGAAAATGGCACTACAGCCGAAGGCTATCTACAAATTCAATGTAATACCTATCAACATTCCAACCTCATTCTTCAATGAAATAGAAGAAGCAATCCAAAAATTTGTATGGAACAATAAAAGACCTCCAATAGCAAAAACTATCCTATAGCATAAAGAACAGTGCTGGAGGAATATCAATACCAAATTTCAAAGTCTACCACACTTCTTTCTATAGTAAACTATCAAAAGAATATCATATCCACTGAATGTAAAAATGTGTCTAGGCTTAATTTAGATTTATCTTTTAAAAAGACATCAATCTCTATTTCTAAACATTCCATAGTGTTAAGTTTTACCTTACCTAAGTAAATGTCTTTAAGTGTTGAGAAATTCAAGCAAGCATTGAAGTAATTTTATGTTGACTGAAAGTGTTCTACTACTCAGCCTTTGCATTATATTTCATTGTATTAGAAAGGTCTTTAGAAACAGGGGAGTGGGAGTTATGACCATCCACCAATGGGACGAAGACTAAAGAGTCCAAAGGCAAGTGACCTACCTGGAAAGACAAAGCATACTGTACTCAGGAAGTGGAAACAAGAGGCTTATTATTGTACTGTTTGAGGTTCTTTTTTTCTTTCTTTTTGTCCTTTGGTTTATTCCCCTTTTTTTGTATTTCTGTACTCTTTGTCTTGTATATAACTTTATCTGATTTGGGGAGGGGAAGGAGA